CAACACACGACGGGACATGTTTGGCCGTTTGCGGCCCCTGGGGGCCCTCGCGGGGCCCCAGGACCGTGAACAAAACCACCTGGGACGAAAAACTGGCCCTGGGGTTCGGGTAAAGACCTCTGGGGACCCCCGTGCATGGAAACACCAAGACATCGCATGCCTGGGGCCCCTCGGGTCAGGGCCCAACTGCTGGCCGATGCGACGTTCAGCGTGGCGTCAGCGGAGGCGGCGGCCAGGCAGCGAGCGCTGGCGCGTGCTCAGGGGAATAAGCAATGACATTAAACATAAAAACTTTGAGATCCGCCCTCCCTGGCACGCGGAGCGTGCCAGGGGCGGCTCCGGAGGCGCCGCCAGGGGTGTCCAGCGCGTTTTTTTTTTTTTTTTTTTTTTTTACTATTTCTTGTTTTGATTCTGTTTTGTTTTTAATCATCCTGTGGTGTTGGGTCCTCGTTTTGAACAGACGGTGCCCCGTGTCTCCTCCCGCTGCCCCCTCCTCCTCCCCCTCCTCCCTCCTCCCTGCGTTTCACCCACCCAGTACAGCGTTTCGTGGCCCCATAGGGAGCTCCACCGAAGGCCCCAGTGGCAGGGTTCGCATGGCGGCCCCGCGTTTTGGCGCTCCCCTCACACGGTTCGTAGCCTCATAGGGAGCTCCACCAGAAGGCCCCGGTGGCAGGGTTCGCATGGCGGCCCCGCACCATTTTGGCGCACCCCTCACACGGTTCGTGGCCCCATAGGGGGCTCCACCGAACGCCCCAGTGGCAGGGTTCGCATGGCGTCCCCGCGCCATTTTGGCGCACACCTCACGGTTCGTGGCCCGTTAGGGAGCTCCACCGAAGGCCCCAGAGGCAGGGTTCGCATGGCGGCCCCGCGCAAGTTTGGTGCACCCCTCACACGGTTCGTGGCCCCACAGGGAGCTCCCCCGAAAGGCCCCAGTGGCAGGGTTCGCATGGCGGCCCCGCGCCATTTTGGCGCACCCCTCGCACGGTTCTTGGCCCCATAAGGGGGCTCCACCGAAGGCCCCAGAGACAGGGTTCGCATGGCGGCCCCGCGCCAGTTTGGTGCACCCCTCACATGGTTCGTGGCCCCATAGGGAGTTCCACCGAAGGCCCCACTGGCAGGGTTCGCATGGCGGCCCCGCACCATTTTGGCGCACCCCTTACACGGATCGTGGCCCCATAAAGAGCTCCACCGAAGGCCCCAGTGGCAGGGTTCGCATGGCGGCCCCGCGCAAGTTTGGTGCACCCCTCACACGGTTCGTGGCCCCATAGGGAGCTCCACCGAAGGCCCCAGTGGCAGGGTTCGCATGGCGGCCCCGCGCCTTTTTGGCGCACCCCTCGCACGGTTTGTGGGCCCATAGGGGGCTCCACCGAAGGCCCCAGAGGCAGGGTTCGCATGGCGGCCCCGCGCCAGTTTGGTGCACCCCTCACATGGCTCGTGGCCCCATAGGGGGTTCCACCGAACGCCCCAGTGGCAGGGGCGGCCCCGCGCCAGTTTGGTACACCCCTCACACGGTTCGTGGCCCCACAGGGAGCTCCACCAAAGGCCCCAAAGGCAGGGTTCGCATGGCGGCCCCGCACCATTTTGGCGCACCCCTCACGCGGTTCGTGGCCCCATAGGGGGCTCCACCGAAGGCCCCAGTGGCAGGGTTCGCATGGCGGCCCCGCGCCAGTTTGGTGCACCCCTCACACGGTTCGTGGCCCCATGAGGAATTCCCCTTGCTTCGTCCCACCTGCCCTGCGGTTTTCACACTTGCGTATGGTTGGGTCGTTCGCCTGGATAAGTTTGACTATGTTTTGTTTTTTCTGCAACCATCCTGTGGTGTTGGGTCCTCGTTTTGAAGAGACGGTGCCCCGCGTTCCTCCTCCTCCTCCTCCTCCTCCTCCTCCTCCCCCTCCTCCTCCCCGTCCTCCCTCCCCCTCCCCCCTCCATCGGCACACCCCTCACGCGTTTCGGGGCCCCATAAGGGGGCTCCACCGTAGGCCCAATTTGCTGCTCTCGCATGCGTCTCCCACGCCCAGGACAGGGCTTCGTAGCCCCATAGGGAGCTCCACCGAAGGCGCCAGTGGCTGCTCTCGCATGCGTCTCCCCCATCCAGGACGGCGTTTCGTGGCCTCATAGGGAGTTCCACCGAATGCGCCAGTGGCTGCTCTCGCATGCGTCTCCCCCACCCAGGACAAGGTTTCGTGGCCCCATAGGGAGCTCCACCGACGGCGCCAGTGGCTGCTCTCGCATGGGTCTCCCCCACCCAGGACAGCGTTTCGTGGCCCCATAGGGGGCTCCACCGACGGCGCCAGTGGCTGCTCTCGCATGCGTCTCCCCCTCCCAGGACAGCGTTTCGTGGCCCCATAGGGAGCTCCACACGAGGCGCCAGTGGCTGCTCTCGCATGCGTCTCCCCCACCCAGGACAGCGTTTCGTGGCCCCATAAGGAGCTCCACCGACGGCGCCAGTGGCTGCTCTCGCATGCGTCTGCCCCGCCCAGGACAGCGTTTCGTGGCCCCACACGGGGCTCCACCGAAGGCGCCAGTGGCTGCTCTCGCATGCGTCTCCCCCGCCCAGGACAGCGAGTTCCACCGAAGGCGCCAGTGGCTGCTCTCGCATGCGTCTCCCTCACCCAGGACAGCGCTTCGTGGGCCCATAGGAAGCCCAACCGAAGGCCCGTGTGGCTGCTCTCGCATGCGTCTCCCCCACCTAGGACACTGTTTCGTGGTCGAAAGCCCAAGTGGCTGCTCACGCATGCGTCTTCCCGGCCTAGGACAGCGTTTCGCGGTCCCATAGGGAGTTCCACCGAAGGCCCCAGTGGCTGCTCTCGCATGCGTCTCCCCCGCCCAGGACAGCGTTTCGTGGCCCCACACGGAGCTCCACCGACGGCGCCAATGGCTGCTCTCGCATGCGTCTCCCTCGCCGAGGACAAGGTTTCGTGGCCCCATAGGGAGCTTCACCGAAGGCCCCAGTGGCTGCTCTCGCATGCGTTTCCCCCACCCAGGACAGCGTTTCGTGACCCCATATGGAGCTCCACCGAAGCCCCCGTGGCGCAATTCGGATGCGTTTCCCCCACCCAGGACAGCGTTTCGTGGCCCCATATGGAGCTCCACTGAACGCCTCAGCTGCACTCGCATGCGTCTCCCCCATCCAGGACAGCGTTTCGTGGCCCCACAGGGAGCTCAACCGAAAGCCCCAGTGGCGCAGTTCGCATGCGCTTCCGCCCGCCCAGGAAAGCGTTTCGTGGCCACTATAGGGAGCTCCACCGAAGGCCCCAGTGGCTGCACTCACATGCGTCTCCCCCGCCCAGGACAGCCTTTCGTGGTCCCATAGGGATCTCCACCGATTGCGATACTCACAACGACGGTACTCACAACTGCATATGGCTGTGTCCTTCGCCAGGTGTTTTTTTTTCTCCTGTGTTTTTCGTTCAAAATCCGCCCGTAGGAGGACATGCCCGACCAAACGCTGGAGAGGTGAGCGCCCCCATACGACGCCGGGGATGAGGCAGACAGCCGACGGCGAGGGCGGCAGGTGACGCCGCCGCGGAGCTTCTCGCGTTCAGCCTTGCGGAGCCGCTCGAGCAGGGCAGCACCAAGTTCGACGACTTCTTGCCTTCTCCCTGCCGCCTCCTCCCTCTTCCCTCCCCCCTCCCTCTCACACGAGTGCGGTTCACACTCTTTGCTGCTGTCAGGGGTACTTCGCCAGTTTCACACCAGGACCGTATTTGCTGCTGTCTTGCTGTCTCGTTGTGCGCACTCTCCCTGGCCCGTACTGTCACTGTACTTGCCATTTGGTGCCCGTGCAGAACTATTTAGTTTCTTACTGAAGCTCTGCTAGCTGAAGCGCCGCACTCCGCTGAGAGTCCATCGGCGTCAACAACTTTGCAATCCCAGAACTCCGTCCTTCCTCGTCCTTCCTCCCTCCTGCCTCCTCCATCCTGCCCTCCTCACTCGAGTCTCTTCAGGTCAACGGAAAGGCCGTCTGACGCTTTTGTCTGAGTAGCACTGCGTAACTCAACCTCATATGCACGGAGAAATCCTATGACGGTGGGTGCAAGGCTTGGCTGGAGCTCGAAGCATGATCACCAGACCCACTGCCCCTCTCCCGAGATCTCATTCGAACCCTGCCGATGCTACCCAGGCGGAAGCAGGACTATGGCAGACGGCAGAGGGCGGCACAGCGCAGGGCGGGTCCCAGTTTCAATAATAATCCTGGTACAAGGTCATGGATCACCTTTTAACTCTGTTTGTTTCTTTCTGTCTTTCTTTCTTTTTTTTTGTCTCTCTCTCTCTCTCTCTCCCTCTCTTAGACAGAAACAACGCCATAAACATTAACTTTTGGCGCTCCGCGCGGATTTCTTGGATCTGCGCTGGACCCCCCTCCCTGGCGCGCGGAGCGCGCTTGGGGCGGCGCCGGAGGCGCCGCTGGGGGGGCTCAGCGCAGATCCAAGAAACTCGCGCGGAGCGCCAAAGGTTTATGTTTATGGCGATATTTCTTCTTCGATCTCTGCCGTTCTCTCCGCGGTCTCCCTCTCCTTCCCCGAGGTCCGACGGGAACGTTTGACCCCAATGCTGTGCGGGAACTTCCGAGAGCCGGACCGATCCGCGTGAGGGCCCTGGGGCCCAAACAAAAGCGGGCCGGAAGCACTGGTCGTGCTCGGGTCTCGGCGCCCAGACGTCAGGGCTCCACCTGCTCCTCTTCCTGGCACACGGTTTGTTCGTCTACACCCCCGATCAAAGTTGAGGAAATACAACGCTAAGAACATTGGCTCCACTCCAAGCGTTTTCTGAGACAGTAGTCCAGGTCCAGATATACAAGGACACCCGATTCTGTTGAACGAAACCTGGAGTCCATGAACACTGCTGCGTTTCTTAAGGTGTCTGATGGGTGTAGGACGAGAGCAAGACCATGGGGACAAGGTCCCCCGCCCCCTCCCCCCGCCCCCTCCCCTCCCTCCCCCGCCCCCATACGCTGCCCCCCCCACCTCCCGGCCGACGAACGCCGCTGAGCGGCTGGCGCGCTCCGACCCCCAGGCCGGCTCGACGCGCGCCGCGTCGATCTCGGGACATGTCTTTTTCGGGAGGAGGAGGGGGGAATCGCGCGTACGGTCGGACCCATGACAGAAACATCTCCTTCAAGATGATGAGACCCTGCGCCGGCCAAACTGAAGAACATTCGAGTGCACCCTCCCCCAGAATGCACAAGAACATGCAACAAACACGAAAAACAAAAAGGTACCCTCCCCGAGCCGACCTCGATCTTACACCTCGGGCCGACCGTGCATTCAGTAAGGTCTCTGGGCCCTGTCCCATGGGGCTTCGCAGAAACGCTACAGGACAACGTAGAATTTCCCAAACACTGCTTGCGCTTGAAGGTTCTTGCTTCTTTTCGAAGGAACTGGGCCTGCGGGCCGCTCTGGCCGCCATGTGGCCGCCGTAGCCGCCCCGTCGCCGCCCGTCGCCTTGATCTGCGGGCCGCTGGGTCTGGATTTGCTGCAGCCCCTTCCTGAGAGGGGATGCTGGCGGACGCGTGGCCAATGCAGCATGGCCAAACGCAACAGGACCAGGCACAACAGGACCGGAACAGGACCGCGGCGGATCGCGGGACATCAGCAGGAGGATGAGCAGGGATCGAAAAAGACAACGGGGAGGGAAGTAGAAGGGGGAGGTGAGGGGATATGGTGAGCAGAGTGTAGGGAAGGGCAGGGAGAAAGAAAAGGATTTGAGGAATGATGACGGGAGGGCTGAGAGCGAGAGGACAAGAGATAGATAAGGGTACGAATAATATGAATAACGCGGAGGATAGTGATTGACAGAGTAAAAGAGAGAGTGCGAGTAAGAGCAACAGTAGGACATGGCAGACAGGGTGAGCGTACAAGGAAAAACGATTACGCAATCATGCGGGTGGCCTTCGAACCTGCGCCTCCTCGCCCACCTCCTGTTACTCGACCCCCTCCTCCTTCTGCCCATCCTCCTCCTGTTCGAGATTACCTCCCCCCTCCTGCTCATCACCATTGTCATCATAGTCATCATCAGCATCACCCTCCTCCACCTCCTCTTCATGACCATCGTCAACATCATCGCCGCCTCCACCCAACACCTCACCATTCATCAACACGACCATCATGATCATGATCATGATCATGATCATCATCATCATCATCATCATCATCATCATCATCATCCGTAGCCATTTTGGCTCAAGCCATTTTGGCTCAAGGTGGAGCGATCAGGGCAGATGTCTGGTCTCATGGGGCTGGCTCTAGCCGTCGCGTCCATTCTTGGGTCAGATTCCCAATCTTCCAAGCTTTCAGTGTGGTCCTTGGGGCCACAGCTCTTTCCATATTACATCACCGACACCCGGCCCCAGTCGCCCGATTGGGAGCCCAGCCGCGGCGGGCTCGACCAATGGCAGGACGAGGAGGTGGTGCTCGCGGTGCCGCGCGCGGTGGCGGCGGCAGAGCCAGTAGTGGCCGTGGACAGCGGGGCGGCCAAGTTCCAGGCGCGGGCGGCAGCGGTGCAGCGCCCAGGGTCTGGGATTGCCCTCAGTGCGGAGCCAAGAAGAATTGGGGCTCTCGGCATGTCTGCAGGAGTTGCGGCTACGACTGGTGGGAAAGCGGTTCTGGTACGAGTTCTTGGTGGAGTGGCATGTCACAACTGGACGCCAGAGAACGCCACGAGCTCAACCAGTTGCGGAGGAAGGTCAAAAAGTTGGAGACCAGCAGCCAAGCAGGACCAGGAGTCGATGGCGGTGGCGCTGGGGCGGCAGGCGTCGGGTTGCAGCCTGACGGCAAGTCAGAACGTGTCCGCCGATTGGGCAAGCTACGAAGTGAGATCAAGAAGATCGAGGGCGTGGACGGCGCGGAGGCCATTCTCGAATCCAAACGGCAGGAGGCGCAGCAGTTGGAAAACGAGCTGGCAGCAACCAAGCCCACATCAGTCCAGCTCAGTGAGTTGGAGCGCAAGCAGAAGAACCAGGAGGCCACCACGGCGGCCTTGGCGAGCAGGATCTCGGCGGCGGACAAGCAGCTCGCTGAACTACAGGCCCACAAGCTCGAGCTGGAGGGCAAACATGCGCAGAGTCAGGCCGGCGAGAAGGAGCTCCAGGCGCTCATCGACAACCTCCTGGCGCAACAGCTCCGCGAGCGTGAAGCACAGCAGCGGGAGGAAGGGCCGCGAGGGGCGGCTGCCCCAGCGTCCCCAGGCGCCCAGCTCAGCGAGGGTGAGCGAGCCACCGCTTTCCTCGCCGCTCTTAATCAGTGCTCAGGCATGCTCGCCCCTGGCTTCGCTGAGCAATGGGACGGCCAAGTCGCAGAGTTGCGGCGTCTGGCACAGCGCGTTGCCGCAGCAGGTGCCGAGGCGGAGCGCGACGGGAGCGGCGACGAGCAGGAGATCGACGAGAAGGACGTCGACGTCATCTTGGACTCCCTGGAGGAAGAGGCCACCGAGGAGGGGGCAGCAGAGGCCGTGTCGGGCGAGGTGGGCAACGGCGAGGAGGCAGGCGACGCTGCAGGCAAGGCCGCCGCAGCCGCCGCCATGCGCAAGCTTCGTGCCCAGAAGCTCCTCCAAGGACTCCGCTCCGCGGGGATCCGCAGAGGGGGGAAGCGGGGGTAGCCGCCCTCACTTCACCATCGTGAGCCTCAACGGCAGCGGATGGGGCCCTTTCACCACCATCCTCGGCGAGCAGCAGGACCCACAACAGCAGGCGGTGGCGGAGGCGCACCTCGGCGACGCACTGTGCATCCAGGAGCACCACCTCAACGGCTACCGCGCCGCGGAGCAGGAGCAGTGGTGTCGTCAGGTTGGCTGGAGCGCCGTGCTGACCCCAGGGGTGAGCTCGGTCGGCGCAAGCCTCCAGCGCGCCGTCAGCAGCGGCACTGGCGTGGCCGTGCGCACCTCGCGTGGCATGTGCGGGCCAGGCGCTGGCGGCAGCAAGGACAGCTGCCACGCGGCCGAGGGCCGCGCGACCATCGTGCACATCAACGGCGTCGTGCCTGGAGGCTTCCTGCTGGGCTCGGTCTACCTGGACAACGACGACGTGGGCGAGCACAGCCAGGGCGTCTTGCAGCAGGTTGGAGCCACGCTGAAGCGCACCGGCAAGCCCTGGGTCCTGGCGGGGGACTGGAACGTCGAGCCTGACAGGTTCCACCTCCGCGCGGGGCACTGGCTGCGCAAGTTGGGCGGCCACGTCGTCGACTCGGGCAAGGGCACCTGCCAGCATTCCCCCGTCAAGGAGCCATCTGAGCTCGATTGGTTCATCGTCAGTGTAGATATGCTGGACCTCGTCAGCGGGTGCGAGCGCCTCAATATGACGGAGCAGGGCTACGCCAACCCGTGCAGGCCCCACATCGGGGTCAAGCTCTACTTGGCTTGTCAGGGCGACCTTGGCCAGTCCTTCCGCGTCAAGGGCCCCGCAGCCTTTCCCAAGGACAGGCCATATGGGCCTATGCCAGCCAAGGAGTGGAACCACGACGAGCTGCGGGACGCTATCGGAGTGGGGGGGGACATGCAGGCCATGACGGAGGTCTACCGCGCCCTATGCGAGGGTGTGGAGAACGAGCTCGTCTGGATCTACCAGATCCCGCCCGACGACGCCAGCTTGTACCGTGGCCGCGGGGGCCCGCCGAGCTTCAGCTTCGGCACGCAGGCCAGGGCGCGCCCCATCAAGGGGCCCAAGGCCAGCTACAAGGGCAAGAAGCTCATGCATCTGAGCGACTATTTCACGCAGATCCATCAGCTCGTCGGCGGAGGCTCGGATGCCGTTTCTTCGGCAGGGCTCGTCCAGTGCCAACTGGACAACGACGAGCGGGCGGCGGAGCGGATGGAGGCCAGGGCAATCAAGCGCTACAAGCGGGTGCTCGGGCGCCGTGCCCGCGGGTGGGTCTCCAACCCCAGCAACCCCGACCACTACGCGGACGAGAACGAGTGGTTGGAAAATTGCGTGCCCTACATCTTTCGCATGCTAGGGCTGCCGACGCACATTGCGACGGGCCTGGCCCAGAACTTTGGGCGTCGCCTGCAGACGGCCAGGGAAGTATGCGAGTCTGCCTGGCGTCGCGGCGGCGCAGGCAGGCAGGAGCTGGTGCGCATTCTTCAGCAGCTCGGCCTTCTCGACCACGACTGCTGGGAGGAGGAGCTGCGCAGGACGGTGGACAGCTACCACGAGTCCAAGCGCTGGCTGGAAGAGCGGGGTGACTACAGCAGGCCCCTCCCAGGCGCGCCCATCGTCCACGGCTATACCGAGACGGAGAATGGCATAGGCGACGTCGCTCCCCTACCTCCAGCGCTTTGCAGGCTAGCCACCTGCCCAGCGGACGCGGGGGGGTGGAGTGCCATCGAGGTGGGTGAGGCAGGCGTCAGGCGCGCACTGGCGCGACTGGCCAACGGCTGGCTGCCGCGCCTGCACGCCCCCGACGCGCAGCAGGACAAGGCAGAGTGGATGGACCTCTGCACGCACTACGCCTACGAGCGCCTCAGCCAGTACGAGGGTGGCAATGGCGACGAGGGTGAGCAGGTCGGCGTCACAGAGGGCCAGTCTGACGGGGCAGGGATGGGAGCCGCATCTGCGGACGGGGACAGCGTGATCCCACCCCGGCCCCAAGTTAACTCCTTTGCGAGCCTCGCAGCGGCAGCGGTAGCCAGCAGTGCGAGGGCCACTGGAGAGGGCGGCAGCGATGCGTCGGCGTCGGGGGCGGGAAGGGGGGCCGCATCAGCGGAGAGTATCAGCGCGATCCCACCCCCGCCCCCTCGCGCCAGCTCGGCTCGGCCGTTTGGCGAGCGAGCGGCAGCCCGCTGGGCTCGGGCAGTCGACATGTGCGAGGACAGTTGGCAGGCCTCCGAGGGCGTGCGCAACAAGTATGCGCGCAAGGTCCGCGAGTTGGAGGACAGCGACCCCGACGCCTGGGCCATCGCTGACGACGAGCACTACTGCTACCTGCAGGGTGTCAAGCAGTTCATGCGGTACCACGGCGGCAGGCGCGGGGGCAGCGACTGCAGCTCCGACGGCGACGTCAGCAGCAACGGCGATGGAGCAGCGCATGCGAGCAGCAGGGCGCCCAAG